TGGTGGCGCTCTTGACCAAACGTACACTCTCCGCAGTCACTTGAATCAGCTGCAAGAAATATGGATTAATTTAATTTATGGCACACATGCGTCTAATTTGAATGCCCACCTGATCGTAATCCACGTTAGCGCAGAGAAATGATTGCAGATCGCTCGCGAAACCAGGTATCTCTGTTTCCTCCACCTCCTCGCCAGATAAGGTCAGAATGCGTGTATGCCCAACGAAGGCCAAGACGAGCGTGTTCTCATAGGCGCTGTCATCGATGCCCACCTTCAGGGACCACATGCCCTTAATGCCAGGCAAATCGATGCAAGCATGCTCCTGTATGCCAATGCCAATGCGAATAATACGTAGCGAGCCATCCTTGAAGCTGCCAGAGCAAGTAATAATCTGGCCCTGTCCTTGACGATCTAAGTCTACAACGGCAATGTCCAAAATTGGCGCCAAATTGGTAAAGTTCTCCACTGGTATGACATAAGAGCCATCAATAGCCTCCGAACTAAGTCGCACCAGTTGCGAATCGCCATGGCGACTGCCAATGTACAAAAATCCATTGTCCAAATATGTAATGCATTCCGGTATCGAAATCTCGCCCAGTTGCTCAACTTTGATGTCCTTGACGGTGGTACCCTTGCTGGTCTCGGTGGTGCCCAGGAAGAGCATATAAAGCTGTCCATCCATGTTGCCCAGCAGATAACGTAAACCCTTGCTGTCCACACGTGCATAGCAATTAATGGTACTTTGGCGGAAGGTGAGTGGCGCCACAGCATGATAATTGCTGCCATCGTGATAGACAATGGACTCGCGTCCAATTACAATGACGCCACCAATGGATGAGGGCACTGGTATCAACATAGTAGCCTCTGTTTCTACATTATCCTGCTTCCAGGCGAGCTTTATAAATTCCTTATCACGCAAATTAATTTCATGTGATTTCACGTGGCGACCATCATTATCCTTGTGTATGACAATGACTGTTGGATTTTGGCAGCCGTGCAGAAACTCCACATCATAGACGGTAAGCTCATCCATGCTGTAAGAAAAAAAGACAGAACGTATAAGCTAAAGTATACCAAAGCATTTCCTTTGGCTTACCGCAAATTTGTCGCCTTTAACTCGCTGGCATCCTTGTCCAAGGGTATAATGGTGAATAGCCCCTGATACAGGCACATGCCAATAACGCGCGCCTTTGGATCAATTGCTGCAATGAAGCCACCCTCAGAAAGTATGCCTACCGAGTCGGAGACATTGCCGTTGGCTTTTGTGACGACGGTTACAGCATCGCCCACCATGCGGGCCTCAAGTATCATGACATTAAAGCGTCGCGTCAATATGAAAAGCAAATCCTTGTTGCTGTCTGGCGGACGAAAATGACGCATAACCGTGATTTTGCCATTGATGTTGATCTCTTTTAGCGGGCGCAAGCCCTCTGGCGTTACCAAATCAATTTCCACCTGATTATTGCGTGCAATAATCAAATTCAAGTCTGTCGGCGATGTGAAATTGCCTGAGGAGTTATTCAAAAAGATGCGTCATGTACTTAACAAATTTATTTTAAAGTAATGCCGGTTAAAAGTAAACTACAATCTGCATGTTCCCGTCCACATCATGCCCGTCGTTAACTTACCGGTGAGACAGGCGACAACCGCTGTGGGCTTTTGGGCGGTCACCACATAGTGATGCGACATTTTCTCCCAATTCGCAAACACACAATAAGCTTCCAAAACAAATCAAAAAGCACGCGTAGTTACTTGGAAACTATTAAAATGCAACTTTGCACCAGCAAAACGAGCAACAAAACGCGCTAAAAAAAACTCATTTTGTTGAGGTCTAGATGACTTTTACTGTGGTCTGGCAACGCTGAGGCGCACAGTTGCACTGGTGTCTGTGCTGCAAAAATAACAAATGTCTCCCGTTACGCAACACTATTTATTAATGGCGACCGGACGACTTGCTGAACCCTACATACGTGTTTGAAATCTTAGAAAAATCATTTTTATAGTTGATTTATAGTGTAAAGAACACCATATTATTGTATAATATATTATTTAAAATACGCTTCAAACATTGTGCTGCGTTTTGTTGCCACAAAGTGTGTCGTTAAAGTGCCTAAAACTGCCATCGTTGGTCTTCAAAAGAACATGGCGAGACTAACTAAAGTCTATAATACTGATGATGATGATTCTGGTTATGTGGGCCGCAGGCATTTACCTTTGGTGGCAGGTGATAAGCTAATGGTAAGTCACAAAATGCACAAAGGAGCTAATATGCAATAATGTAAAACTACTGCTGTAAAACTGTCATAAAAATTTTAATAATTTGATGACCCCCTCCAAACCCACATACTTATGCATTTCTGTGTCGTGAATGTTGTGTGTATGCCTGTGTGTGCACATTGTCAAACTTTCATAACACGTACGCGTGCATCTGTGTGCTATGTACATATGTAGTAAACACATACATATGTGCATAAACATATATATGCTTGTCGACGACTGCACCCATAAATTGAAAACGTTGTTTAATTAAACTTCAGTTTTTCTGTGTGTGTTATTTGAAGTCTGCAATAATAAACAGCCGCTTAGAGCAACCGCTCGGCAGATCTGCACCAGCCCGACGCCTCCTCTGCACCTTACGTAGGGTCGCCATGTTGCTGAAGTGGCAACACCGACCAACAAAAAAACAAAAACAGGTTTCAAATGCATTTCTTTCTCTTTGTTGCTCTCTGTGTGCGTGTGTGTGTGTGTTCTTTTTTGCCAACACTGTTCTCTTACTATCTCTGATCTGTCTTTGATCCCTTCTCCCCCTCTTGCTAGATGCTCATGGACCTGAACAGCAAAGGACTTGTTATTGACAGCCCACAGATACGGGGTCGCGAACTGGAGGAATTCTCACGTAAATTTAATCTGCTCACAGAAACGGAACGCAATCAATCGCTTGTGATTGATAGCAGCGGCTTCATTTCGGTGCTCAATCAGTGCGTTCAGTGTGTGGGCTGCCGGCGAAGGGTGGAGCGTTTGTTTTACCAGCTAGCTGAGTCCGGCCATCGTACTGTCGACCCGCTGGAGTTGCGCGACAATTGCACGCTGGGCATAACGGAGGAAAAACTAAAAACACCTCAGGCACTGGGCACTCTACTATATAGACATCACGAGGTGCTCAACAATCTGTTGGATAATAAGCTGCGCAACAAGACGCGCTGTGTGCTCCATTCATTGGACACGTTCCGTGCCAAACCATTTTCGGAAACGTGGCGCGAAGTGTGGTCCGCCATGAAGAGCAATTGTCGCACCGAGGTGACCATCATTGAGACAAAGGAACTGCACGAAGTGCTCGACAAGTATCTGAAGAAGCACAAGTTTTGCGCCGGCTGTCGCACAAAGGTAAGCATCTTGCGTTAATTGCGTCCAATTTCCAAGCTAATGCCATTGTTGCCTTGCAGATCGAGCGTGCCTATAAAATACTCATTGGCGAGGTATCCACCAAGGAGAAGGGCTATGCGGCACAGCTGTATGCCCACATACGCAAGTGTGTGCCCGATGAGCACATACATGTGAGCACGAATAAAATCGAGTTCCTTGACGCGCTTATCAAGCGTGCCGAGCCGGAGGTAAATGGTAGCTACTCGAAACTGCGCGAACGTCATGCCAAAACGCTGGAGATCGCCCAGGAGGAGGTGCTCACGTGCGTCGGCATGATCATGTACGAGCGCTTGCGTCGCATTTATGTTAGTCTGCGTGAGGAGGAGCGTGCCTGCCAAGTGCTGGCTGCTGTGGGCGTGCATGCGCTCTGTCGCAGCTTTCATGAGCGTGTGGAGGAGAAACAGGGCATAAGCAACTTGGAGCTGCTCTATCAGGAGATCAGTCGCGCGGAGAAAGCCAAGGAGCTGAAGCGTGAGCAGAAAAAGCTCAAGAAGAAGAAGAAGAAGGATGAAAAAAAGAATATGCATCGTCTGTGTGAAAACGATATTAATAATGCGAACGACGCTGCCGAAACGGACTACGAGGAGGAAGAAGATGACGTTATTCCTGAGGCTGAAGCTGAATCTGAGCCTGCGGCTGTAGACGACGCCGTCGATGATGGCATCGTTATACTCTGTGCAGACGCAGATCCAGAGCCAAAGCCGCCAACGCCAAGTGACAAATCAACGAAATCGAAATCGAAGAAGCAACCGAAGAAAAAGAAGCAAAAATCTGCTAGCAAGAAGGCTAAAAAGTTATTGTGTGTCGATGACCACCTAGACGTGTCTAAGGCAACGAAATGCAACGACTGTTTAGCACCCATCCCCAACTGTCCCTGCGAGCAGGATGTGCGCGATTCTGGCTATGGCAGCGATCCACCCACATCGCATGCCAATTCGCGCATTTCCAGCGCAATCTCGTCGCCGGAAGGCTCAGAAGTTTCGTGCTCGGACGGACTGTGCAATCATCATGACGGGCTGCTGGACGAGGAGCAAAGCGTCGATGATGTTGCAGTCCGCAACAGTTACGTCTCCGGTTTGCTCTATGGCCAACAGACGCAATTGGATCAAAAATTCTCATTGCTGCAGATGTGGGTACGTAGCAAGACCCACATTGATTATGATTGCAAATCTTATAGTTAATATCAATTACAGGACTACTTTGACGACTACGATAAGGATGATGAGAACTGTTGTTACATTCCCCAAGAGGTGGTACTGGCTTATCAATACCAGCGTGAGCAAGTGCAGCGTCAACGCGAGCAGCTGCGTGCCACATTGCGCGAGAATTTTGAACGCTTGTGTCTACAGCGTGGTGTCCACATAGGCACAACCAATGCTGCCGCTGGAGTCGATGCCACCTCAACTGGCCATTAATGCATTAAACCGTTGTAGTTATTCAGTCGCGCGTTGCGATTTCTAAAAATCCACGCGGCGCATGCATTCAAAATACATACATATAATTTTTTTTGTTTTTTGAAATAAATGAAGTATAAAAGTTATGCTTATCAATACGTTATATATATATATATAGTTGTTTTTTTTTTTAGCTATTGCGGCAATCTTCGTGAAACGGTTCGAGGGTGCGCAAATCGCGCCATGTTGGCGGCAAACCGTTGGCAATATATTTGCTGCAACGCTTGCACGGCTCAAGGAATAGCTTGATGTGACTGTTCAGCCAAGTCACATAGCTCTTCACCGCCAGATCGGGCAGTGTGGGTGAGAAAAAGTGCAGCATGGCCGAGTGGGCGTGCTCCTGCACCTTGCGAAAGACTTCATAGCGCGACTCGGCCCACAGATCGTCATGCTCGAGCGTTTCATCATAGCCCTTGATTGTCACCCACTCAATGAGCACACCCTTAAAAACGATGGCCGCCTTGAGCACATTGCTGATGGTAACAATGGCCACGGCATTGGATCCAAAAGGACGAAAGACTTTATAGGATGTGTGCGGCGGATGATTTATTTCACTCAATAGCTTATCTATGTGGCTGCAACAAAAGTGTTAATATAAAAGTTAATAGAAACTAAATCGTGCACTCACTCCGGATCGTTGTTGAAGGAGGAGAAGGGCAATCGCTGGCGCTTCTGTGAGCAATAGTTGTAGGAGCGACGCAGCGTATTTTGATTGAGATTGTTGAACGCAAGAATACTATGATCGTGCACCTTGTCAATCCATTTGTAGCTGTTCACCAGCTGCGGATACAACGCCTGTCGATCCTGTGACGTTTCCTGTGCCAGAAATGTGGTGTTGCCCAAATGGTAGGCTGTCGGTGGCACCTGTAACCCATTTATCAGCTGCTCCACTTCACTGCAAACGGTTAAATACCATTGAGTAATGCTCAACCCAATTAATTTCAACACACTCACCGCAACTGCGAGTTGATGGCACCGAATCTGTCCTGAAAATCGTGCACAAATTTATTTCGACTTTCGTCGATGCCCTCGCCGTCGGTGCCATCGGCCAAGTGTTCAAAGCACTGCCGCACATTTGAGCGTAGATTCTTAACGGCCGTTAAAGTCTGGTTTAACTTATCCATTTGCATTCGGGCAAACAAAGCAATTGTTTATATTTGTGCAAAAATTGTTTATTTGCCGACTAGCAAAATTGTACTATCTATCGGCATACCGCCACAATCTATCGATTGGTCAATGCATTGCAGCTGGCAGTGCTGCATCATTATCACTTTGAATAGCAGTATTTTAGAACTTGCCAAACTCGGTCACACTACGCCCCGTTCAATTCAGTGGAAATTTTGTGTTTGTGTAGCTCTCATTGGTTTAAATAAGCCGTAAGTAATGGGCAATAAGTCATCACTCTTTCTGCGGCACGAGGAAATTGCCCAAATACAGAATGAAACAGGCTGTAAGTATATAAAACACACAGCTCCATGTATTCTAGTTATTATAGTATTTAACGTAACCTTGGAGCTGGTTACCCATGTGTAAATTGTCAAAAACATTTCAAAACAAATACGCAGTTGCTAAAAGCATTCTCATTGTGATCAGAAATTTTGCACTTAAGTGGCAACTGTGGCAACTAATTATAGCTTTGCCAAATCGTTTCAATTATGTTTCATAGTCTAAAGTCATTTAGCGTACGGCAGCGCCAGCTACAAGTTAGCGAGCACACAGCCGCGTTGAGTGTTAAAGAACGTAACTGTTGTTTTCGAATTGAGTGTTTGGAAACGAGCTCAATTTGAAGCATTTATGTAAGGTGTAATAAATTTCCAAATGAATTTATGACGTCATGCTGTCCCAACGACCCGCGGGGGCAAAGTGCTGCGCGCGGCCGTTTGATGCACATAAACCTGTGTTTATCAGCTGTCCGAGTAGGTGTAATTTATGCGTGATAAGGCGCCCGTTTGTATCCAGCAACTGCTGAGTTATTATATCGGATAATAGCTGTGTTTTCGCCATTGTCTGTGTATTTGTTATCAATTGATAAGGCGCCACGCTCTACCCTACCCCTCGTTATCTTTTTATTTTTTTGTATCTCACCTCAGTTACACCCAATCAAATTGAGCGCCTGTATTCGCGTTTCACCTCGCTGGATCGCAACGGCTGCGGCACACTATCGCGAGAGGATCTGATGCGCATACCCGAACTGGCCATCAATCCGCTCTGCGAGCGCATTGTCCACTCGTTCTTTGCGGAGAGCACCGATGATCGGGTCAACTTTCGCCAGTTTATGAATGTGTTGGCCCACTTCCGGCCGCTGCGGGACAACAAGCAGAGCAAACTGAACAGCCGCGAGGAGAAGCTAAAGTTTGCATTCAAAATGTACGATCTGGACGATGATGGTGTCATTAGCCGGGATGAGCTGCTGTCGATATTGCACATGATGGTTGGCGCGAACATAAGTCAGGATCAGTTGGTTAGCATTGCGGAGCGGACAATACTGGAGGCGGATCTGTGCTGTCAGGGCAAGATCTCGTTCGAGGACTTTTGCAAGGCGCTGGAACGCACCGATGTCGATCAGAAGATGTCCATAAGGTTTCTTAATTAGGCCTCAATGATAACAGAAAACAAATGTCTTAGTCAGTGTGAACCAAATAGTTTAGTCAAATTAATATCAAGTTCGAGGCATATTCACTTGTATTAGTAATTTATAAACTATATTTAATATGAAGATATTATTGTTGCTTGCTTTTACGCTAATTTATTGTATGGAAATTCTGGTTTATTGCCGCTTTCATTCCGCGCTCTCTTGAAATATTTGCATTTTGTTAATGGCCAGTCTACTATATTTATTTACTTAAATCATTTGATCACTTAATTAGTTGCTTGAAAAATAAATACTTGTAAATATGTATGAATGTGGTTTATTATTGTATTTATCAGGCGTTCAATTGGAATCTACACATATGCATATATGGGATTAAATAATGTAATTGCCCCTGCCAAAAAATAAAACTATGCCAAAACTCTCCACTCGTGGCTTATACAGGCATTTCATTTCGTATAACAGCTTCTATGTGGTCGAGGAGACGGCCAACTTCTTCAGATGCTCCATGAACAGCTGCAGGGAGACATCATCCGTGAGCACCGGAGCGCCGCCATCCTATGAAGATAATTATATCGAGTTAGTAAACTGTGATTGGGATTGGGCTTTGGTTAAGCGGCGCCAGCACCAGAAGCATTTAAAGGAGTTGAAGAAGCAAAGTAACTTAGAACTAAACCCAAAGTGAAATAAATTGAACAAAAAGTTGTTTTTTTACTACCGTCGTCTGACCAATTGGCGCCTGCGCGTGACAAGAACAACAACAACGACAACAAGAAGAAGTTTAAGGCGTTTGTGGGGGGTACACAATGAGAAAGTAAAACGAAAACAAAACGTAATGTTTCAAAAAAGATTAAAAAATTAACAAAATTGCTGTTTAAATGCGTCAGCTAATTGAGACCCACCTGGCCGTAGGCATACATGTTGTTGTGCGTCTGAGATGGATTGACCTTGGAGAGCAGGAAACGCGCCTGCGAGCCGCCGTGTTCGGTGTCAATGTATCGCGGCATGGGAAAGCGTGTCTGCAATATCTCCTGGGCATCATCGACTGGCGCCTGCAGCAGCTGCTTGAAGTTCTCATATTCGGGCATGTCCTGATATTTAAGCGCACGCCACTGGGCAATCGTTTCGCCGTGATAGATGAGTATCTGGAAGAAGGTGTCCATCAGCAGTATGCGATCCGCTTGAATTGAAGCGGTATCAAGCAGCACCGGCTCCGGTGGCCCATTAAATGAATAGCTATAAAGAATGGGCTGTATCATGATCAGGGACTGTGTGAGGTCCTCGCGCATCAGCATGTGTCGATAGAATGTGGTCTCGTCGGGCGAATTGTTGAAGACCTGCAGGAACTGCGAACGGCGCAAATGATACATGAATTGCGGAAACAGGCTAAAGTTTTGTGACAGCCGGAAACTGTTCGGATCATCCTTCGAATACTCTCCAAACTTTTGGCACTACAATTAACAAAAAAGGAAAATCCAATAATATATATATATACATAGAAGGCTGCACTTAGCACTTACCAAGCGAATCAGCTGCCGATCCACCCAGCGCAATATGTCCGGCCCCTCATCCGTCTCGGCGCGATAGACAACCATACGTGCCATAAGCACTGCGGCTGCCTCCTGATCAAAGCCAGCGCTAATGTGCTGCACATTCGTGTTGGCATCCGCCCAGCTGCACACGAAATAAATCAATAAATGGTGTATACCAACTAGCTGGATTGGGGGCGAAACTCACTTTCTGGCCAACGTGGTGACGCGTATGCGCCGCTGTCCGCTTGGATGCTGGTATTGCGTGATGAACTGTATGCAGCCGCGTCCGCCTTGCGGAATGGGCGCCGAATGCTGATTGACCACCTCGAAAAAGTAGGCATATGTGGAGCTGGGATTTAGTGTGCACAACTTCCATTGCACCGTATTGCCCATGCCGATCTCCACATCCGACACCGACGGGCTCTTCACATTCAGCGACACACACGAGCCGATGCCGCCAGAGATTTTCAGCTCGCGCGAGCACTTCACCTCAAGGGTGGCATTGAATGCCATCTTTAAATCGTTGCGGCTGTCGCGCGCAAACACGCGCTGGAATGTTTGCTTGAACAGCGACGAATTAAATGAATCGCCCATAACCATGTGACCGCCGGTGGAGTTGCATAGCTGTTTCATCTCCATCAGACCGGTCTGATCGAGGGCACATGAGTATATGTCGATGCCATGACCATTAGTGGCAGCGCGCAGCGCTAACGCATCATAATGCTTGATGCCCTTCTTCATGTATTTGGCATTGTCCTTGTGTATGTCATGATGGGAGCGTATGGGATGCTTTAGCTCATCGTCGACCACTTGGCCGGGGCCCTGGGAGCAAGGGCCACCGACAAACGTCATAATGCGACCGCCCGTATTTGGGTACGTGCACTCCAGCAGGCCAACTGCAATTGAGAGAGCAGCGCCCGTGGAGCGCAGATAGCGCTTGCCCTGCGGCACCGGCCAAGGGTCACGTTGCAGCTCGCTTAGCAGATCACCCAGTGCGGTATCGCACTGGCTGATCGGCTGTAGGAAGCGATGAGCGGGTGGCAAATGTTGTCCGGCCCCCCCAACCCCCGGTGCATTGGGCATCTGACCTGGCTGCTGATGTGGCGTTGGTGCCACACCCCGTCCAATGCCCAGCATGTCCTGCACCTGCTTGGCGGTCAGATCTTTGGTGCCGCGAAATACATAACTCTTGGAGCAGCCATCAGTGCCAAGCTCATGCACCTGGATCATTTTGCCGAAGGTAATAAGGCCCACCAACGCATTCGGCGGCAGCAGACTCAGCGACATCTGCAGCGAGTCCTTCAACGCGTCCAGCTCTTCTTCATCCATGCAGGTATCGACCAGAAATATAAACACAGGCGGCATTGTCGGCGCCCTGGTAATGGTGTACTCAATGGTACTGAAACCAGGTATCAGTTCCGCTGGCTGATGCTGCTCCGATATCGCTGCATATTGTGGAGGAAACTGGAATTACAAGTGTTAATCTTGGAGCTGAAAAGATTATTTGTGATTCATGTACTCACGGGATTTCGTTGAAAGCAAAAGTTGCACACCCAGAGCTTGGCACGATAGTCCACCTGGCACAGTGGATTCAGGATGGCACGGCAATTGCTGCGCGTGCACAGCACGGGCTCGTATTGTATTGGTGGTAAGTCTGGACGCTCCTTGAGGGGCTGATAGAGACACGCAAGCGGCACCACTAAACGGCTGGCATCGATGCGACTTGAAGGCCATACATTCCAGGTTAAGCGCACTCCGTCACGATCCTCATTTTGCTGGATGAACTCCTCGTAGGTAGTCATCGTTTAAAAGGCTTTATCGACGCTCACGGTGCGTTTATAAGCTTAAAATTAATTATAACACAAGCAAGTCTTATTGGAAAAATCGTTTGGCCAGGCCACGTCACGGATTTGACAGTTGGTTGCGTAGCAGGCAGCTTGTCAACGTATACTCAAAATGGAATGCAAACAATACAAATTTTGTTTCTGTTAATGTAAAACTCTGTAAATATAATGCAGCAGTAAGGCATGCTTATTTTATTATACATTGAATAGCTTTCTATACATTAATATTTATCAAACAAATAAATAT